CTTTGTTAAATTCAGACGAGAGAACGGCGTCGGATTCGCGGAAGATGATATATACAATTTTTCTTGCCGCCCGGCGAGAACATAGCGTGTCTGCTTCTCCTTACGAGCCCTCCTCAAAAGGATCTCTCTCGCTTCCCATTCCGCGCCACTCGACTTTCCGCGCTCTCGACTCCGTCGCCCTCCCACTCGTCGTCTCACTCCTTGTACATATTTACAATCCAGCGGCGATACACGAGAGCGTTATGTTCGAGACCGGAGACGACTCTCCACTCGGCTGCGTGACTTTTTGCACTTTGCAGGAGTGATTTAGACGTCGCCCCCTGCGCTTTTGCCGAGTTAATTTCTTCTCTTTGCTCGAGGCCTGGTCGAGCTTTCAGCGCCTCTTGTGGTCGAGTTAAGCGAGTTTCTCCAACTAGAATCCACTTGCTATTGGCTTTCTTTGTCTTATCTTGTTCGAATTGCAATCGCACTTGTCGACTATTATCGGCTAGTGTTATTCAGCTTTCAATCGCCAAGAATCAAATTAAAAGCGAGCACGAGAGAACTAAGCAGCGCGCTTTACAGAGAAGACCTTTGGCGTTGGCAGCAGTGACAAAGGGAACTCGTTAACACATAAAAACGTATGCAATGGCTTTCGTTCGTAAATATTTACGCGACGGATCCGCGCGCGCGCGAATAAGATGTCAACTGGAATAGAATGGGGAGGAGAGGAACGGAGAGCTTAAAGCTGCCGTGACGGGAGGTGGGGTTCTGAAAGTCAGGCAAAACTTGAAAAACGAGGTTCCGCCAGAGATCGCTACATTATCCCGAAAAGAAAATCACCGGCTTCAAGAGGGAAAATGTATGTAGAGCCGCGCGCAAAGTCTCTCTCTCTTTCTCTCTGACAATTGGATCTGCGCGCCGATGCGCTCTGTTTCTCTCTCACTTTCCCTCTGCACGCGATCTTTTCAAATGCGTCTGGCTGTACTTGTAAAACTCGCGCTTCCCTCTCTCGCCCCACGGAATATCCTTTTTATTTATGCAGTGCGCGGACGAATTTCAAAGAGCTTCTCTCTCTCTCTCTCTCTCTCTCTCTCTCTCTCTCTCTCTCTCTCTCTCTCTCTCTCTCTCTCTCTCGCTGCGGTAAATTGCGGAAAGTTTTTTGTTTCCGCGACTGATTTATGATATGCGTCGGGATTCGCAATACTCGAGTGCGCGTCTCGCGCCTGCAAACAATTTTTTTCTTTTAATTAGAATTTATTCGTTGCTTGGCGTTATGCAAGTTCCACCGGCTTAATATTACTCGGTTATATTTTTTCTTGTTCTTTTTCAAACGTTTGCTCGATCCGTTTCGCCGACGAGGCGAAGCTGCAAATCATCGACGATGGCTCTTTTTGCATTGCAGTTGTTTAACCAAGAATCGAGGGCAAATCGAATAAACGAACGTCTCCGCTCGGTAAAAACGATGCGATCGGCCTGTTTTACGGCGAAACCGTCCCCCGGGGCATTTTCCGAAAAATTACCGATGTCATTAGACGAAGATATCGAGGCGGAAAGATGCGCCGACGCTTATTCTTGCGTGAACTTGCGGGTAACGGCGAAAATCGACGAATCGATCAACATCGCGCCACGCTCCTCCCTTTATACGCGAAAGCCTCCTCGAAGGCACAGCGGCATAGCGGCAGCCAGCAGGCAGGCGAGCAGGAGGCGCGCACTTACTTGGTCGCTTTATCATCGCGGCTCGTTCTCCTCGGGCAGTTACTTCCGTTCTTCGGCGGCGCGCGACCTCGTAAACGGACAAGCTCGCGCATAATTCTCCACTAAAACGCAAAGAGGTCGTTCGACTTGGCTGGCGTTATCTCCGAAGGGGAGGAAAAGAAGAGCGGAGAGAGAGAGAGAGAGAGAGGATACATCAACTGTCTATTTGGGAAATTGAAATAAGGTTGGCTTTTATGCGGGCGCTCTTGGGGCTCTATATGACAAATACTAACCGTTACATCCCACTGAGCCAAAAGAGGGTGAAGATGCTCTCCTTGTTCGTTCGTTCTTGTATATAACGCGCGCGCGCGCGTGTGTGTTATCGCTGAACGCTTGGCTTCTCCGCGTCTCGTCCCTTCTTCCCTTGCGCGATATGTCGGTTCTTTACGGCGGGAAAATCAGTTATTGTGGCGCTGCGCGAGTGGGAAATTGATGTGCGCGAGCTTCTTCTGCCTCCATTTTTTTGCGATTCAAGTGTAACGCGATTTAGTGGATACATCTCAGTTTTCACTTTTTTTTACTTGGCCCGGGCGCCTCGATAAGATTGACAACCGAGCTTATTTGAATTCAAAGTCAGAGGGCCTCGTTAAAGCGAGAGAGACGATGATAATAATAATGAAGGCTGACGATAATATCCATCTGGTAAAACGAGGATCGCGAGTATATAATCACTTAGCATTGCCGGGCGTTAATGAATCACGCCGGCAGTCGATAATCGGGCAAAACTACCGGCAATCAAGGCTCGGCAGCGACATCTCGCCGCTCTTGGGCTTAATGACTCGACAACGATCGCAATAATGCTCCGCGCGGCTGCCTCGCTGCTGCCGGCTTGTTTAACTCGGAGGGAGAGCGGGAGAGGGGGGCGTATCGAATAGTGAGCAAGCTGCTTCATTATCGCGTGCTTCGCGAGTAAATTGGAGGAGCTCGTGTATTACGCGTGTACCTCTTCAGCGCGGCCAGCACTCTCTCTCTCTCTCTCCCCGTCTTTTTATTCTCGGGATTGATTGCTGAGGCTAAGATTGTTGCTTGCGAGGTGTTGCGGCCGCTTAGCATTTTTGATTGATGACTGCGGAGAATTTTAACGATGTCGAGGTCGATTTCGTGTTTTTTTTCAATCAATTGATTATTTTCTCAAACTGTTACGGCATTTCTTCTTTTTCTTTTTACGATGAACACGTGTTATGTGACGAAGGACAACAATCATATCCTGCCTAACGTTTTATTTTCTTTTTACAATTAGATTAAATCATTTTGCGCGTTTTCTCGCTTCACTAATGTAAACAACTAGGCAATAACTCTGTTGTGGGAAATTTCAAAGTAAGCTAGCAACAGCCGAGTGAAAACGAGCCAGTGTAACGAAATTTACTGACAGGTTTTTCGTAAGATTTGCACACGACGAATCAGGCGTGCAAACGATTTGAAGAAGAACGACAGAAAAAGCAGCGATTAGTCAAAATGTTCGTTGCGTGCACAGCCTCGCGGACAAATGCGGCCAAGCGCAAATAAAATTAAAATATAGCACCGAATCGGCGCAGCCGAGTCGCAGGAAAAGGCCGGGCGAAACGAAAGTTAACAACGCCAAAAACCAGTGCAGCAGCGCGCGGCAAACGACACTCGCGCGCAGCGGCGAATCGGACTTGCAAATTGACGTGACGAGAGAAAGCCCACTGAAAATTCATCCGAGGAAAGGCCGGCAGTGGCGGAAAAAGAGAGGGGAAAGAGCGAGGCGGGGAGTGGATAGTCACGGACGAGCAGGCGGAACGAGGAGGTGAAGATAAAAGAGAAGAGGAAGCGGCCCTACTCGTGTCGAGTGACTCCGAGCTCTCGAGACTTTGTCGTCGTTGGCAAACGAGAGTAGTCTCTATATAGCGATATGCCGGTGAGAATCGAGGTCGCGCAATTAGACGGGCATGATTATTTTCGGACCGCCAAATAAAAATACACATAGATTATCTTTTGCAGAGCTATATTGTTCCGGCGGAGAGATCGTTATGGGTGGTTTTTTTTTTTCGCTCGCGGCTGCTCTTTTGTACTCGGGCAGCGAGAGATGCGAATGGGATTTCGAACGACGTTGCGCGTGCGTGCGTGTGTATATCACCGAAGTGATTCATATTTCTTGTTCTGCCTCTCTAAGCTCGGAATGTTTCAATTTAGACACGGATTCCGCTTTTCACATTCTTTCGGGACGAGCAGCGAAGCTTCTCGTCGTGCGCCACACGCGACGTAAAGAAAACAGCAGCGGGAGAGCTTCGGGTCTTTATTTTTCTTCCGTCGCCCATCGCGATAAGGCGGCAAAGAGACAGCGCGCGCAGCGACGAAGTTCGGTGAAGCGATAAAAAGATCGCGCCACGCGGGGCAGGCAGGCGGCAGGCAGGCGAGCGGCTCGCAGAAATTGTCCGCGACTGCAACTGTGCAGCGCTACGCGCTTATCTCGAGCACGGAAGTGGCCGCAGTTCGTCGAACGACAACGACCAGAACCGTTGGACGTGTTTTCGATCGTGTAATGCGATTATACGCGACCAAACTGACACCTTTTAGCTTTTGTTACGTGAAACGCTCTCGTGTTTCACGACTGAAATGAGCTTGGAGAGACGTTTGATTGCAGTCCATTTGCTTGTTTTCAAGGCAAAAAGCCTCTCCTTTCAGCGAGAAAGTATATATCCATAAACGCGAAAAAAGCTCGCATTCAAGAGAGACAGAGATACAGAGAGAGAAAAGAAGGTCAAGCCGTTGACGTTGTTACGGAAAAGCTTTCAAACTCGCGTCTAGAGGGATGCATTAAAAACTTGAAAAACACTTACCGCCGTTGGTCTTGAGATCGTCTGGTTGTCCGCGGTGCAATTCAGGTTTGGCAAGCATATTGAGTGGGTGCGACGAGCCGGATGGTGCAGCCCCGGCACCAGGTTGCAATCCAAGACCGAGCAGTGCTGCTGATGCCGATGTTGGCACTTGTAGGCCACCGCCTGGACCTAAGCCTGGCAATGTCGGTAAACCTGGGTGTGGACCTATTGTTGCACCCGGGGGCAACTGCTGAGCATGCATCTGTTGCAGTAACCTCGGCAAGTCAGGCCTCTGTTGCTAGATACAAACAGTTTACGTCTAAGTTACCGTGTACCAAACGACCAGATTGTTTCTCGACAAAGATTGATATCCAATTAACTTCTGCTGCAGCTTCCTTTCAATCACGTCGTAACATTTCGATTCGCCGCGTCATATTGCGTCGAACGCAAATGCCCATGAATAACAGTGGATTTCAATGGAAACTGCCGATAAAGCGCGAGATACGTGTCCCGCAGATTCACTCATTCAAAAGTTAAACACGAGAGAACAAAATATTTGACGCGAATCGGGGGGAGCGAGCGAGCGAGTGACGACGCAATGATATATGAGTAAATATTCATATTGCTCAGGCTCATCGCGTGATAGTTTCGTATTTATCAAAACTTCGCGGGAATCCCCGCTTGTTATGTTTTTTTTTCCTCTCTGCTGCGCCTCACGCGTTAAATATTTTATATCTCTGTGCTCGACGCAACAAAAAAAAAAAAAAAAAAAAAAAAAAAAACGATACTCCCCCGACGCGTCACTCGCATTGTACGCTTTCTCTCTCGGTGCACGTTCGTTCACCCTAAATTTTTTTGTCTACCGAGCCTAACTTTATTTTTGGGAGGGATATTGAAAAGTTCTCCGAGCTTATTGAAAAAGAAATGAAAAAAGCGAATAACAGGGACGAGGGCTCGAAAGCTGCTTGCCGTGAATTAAAGAGAGAGAGAGAGAGAGAGAGAGAAAGCTCTTACCGCAAATAAAATTATTCATTCGCGCACGTGCGCGCATTCATTTATTTGCTTGGCCGAAGGCACGTTCGCTAAACACCGGAGAGGCTAACGAATCTGCCCACCCACACATGTGGCATATATAGAAGCGAAAAAAAAGAAAAAAAAATAAATAAAACACGTGGGAGCTTTCTGCTCGCTGAGCATTTTATGCCGACTGGTTATCCGCGGTGCGGCGCGATGCGCTTTTGCTGTATTATTGCTGCTTTGGCAGTGGTTTTTTTTCGGCGGTGGAGGAGTTGGTCTCTTTTTTTTTCTTTTTTTTTCGGTGATGGATATTGCTCCGCATCAAAGGCTGTATCAAAAGCTGAGCCCACGTCTGTTCACTCTGCGATGATGAATTTATCTGAACGTTACGGTTACGCATCAACGAAGCGAACGAACATTCGTTCTTAACAATTTGCATCAACAAGTAAATCTGGTTTTACGCGTAACGACGAGCCTCTGGCAATCGCTCCTCCTCCACGCGTATCCTGCACAACTCATTTGCAAAGGTAAACAAGCTAAGGGTCGTCAATGACGCCGATAACTGAAGATTTACAGGCGCCGCTTTCACCCCGTCCACAAGAAAGAGGAAAAAAAAAGGATAAGCAAGTGTGAATTGACTGGCCGGCGCAACGCCCGCGTCCGAGTGCGCGCACGCATTGTAATCTTCGGTTTGACGAGGCGATCGGTTTCGCGCCTCCCTCTCACGTGATCGCGCGCCGCGAGAAGCAAGACGTCGGCGGACGAGGGAATGCGCTACGTTCGCGCGCGCGCGCCGACTAAGTTTCGCTCGCCTCGCTCGCTGCGTCTTTCATAGCGGTAATTAAATGGAGCTTAACGATATAATAGCCCGCGTAGGCTGCTTGCCGGCCAATGCAGCTGGCGTGATCTATTATGGTTATCATTTTTTTTTGTTTAAGGAAGAAAGGGGAATGGGAGGGTGCGGCGAGCTCCGCGTTTCGCCGTGCTCATTAACGTTATTGCTGCGCACTCGACGCGACCGAGCTATGGAAAAGAGAGGAAGGCCAAGCCGACTGCCGAGTAATTGGAACGCCGGCCGGGAATGCATCGCAATACCGCCCGTCAAGGGATACACTTGTGCGCAAAAGCACGGGGTCTGCATCGGCGCCGATTTTGCCGCGCGTAATCGTAAAAAAAAAAAAGAAAAAGAAAAAAGAGCAACACGTCTTTTCTCTCTTTCTCTCTCTCTCTCTCTCGTTTGATCGACCGTACGGCAACACAAGCAAGCACTTACGACGACGCGAGAACGTAGTTGGGTTTACGCGCGCCTATGCGTCGGCTGAAAGAGCGCGGCGATGGGCAAGCTCTATAATTAGCTCGCGGCGAGCCCCGGAAAAATTGGCGAGCCGTGCGCGCGCAATTCCCTTTTTCAGAGAGATAGAAAGCTCCTCTCGATTATCGCGGCGCGATAATCACGGATATCTTCGGCTCGTTTTTATCCCGGGGATGATGCGGCTCGCGCCGCCGCTGGCGCGATTCGTTCGTCGCAGGGCTCGCGGACCCCGTGCGAAATTACACGCCAGACGCACGGCGCTTCGATCTCTTTATTACGCGCGCGCCTCGGTGCTTCTTCGATCAATCTCGCCTGTGTTTTCTCCTTCGAATGAACTCGCGACGCGCGTAACTCGGTTAATCAGTGCGAAGACAAAGGCTCCTTTGTGAGTGCGAGCGCGATAAAGAGAAAAAATCGCTGTCATTGTGTTCCAATCGTGCAGGGAAAAGGCACAATGGGAGCGCAAAAGGCACGAGCTCGAGCTCCTAATTACGGAAAATAACCGTTGACACGCTTGAAAATCGTTCGCAGCAGCAAAGGCAAAGGCGACAAGGATGCAAGAAGCCTTATTATAGCGATCGACTCATTTCCGGAAGTACTAAAGGAAGACTCCACCACCACTGCCGAAGCAGCAGCACCTGCGAGTCCCGCGCTCGTCCAACTTTCCCGAGAATTTCGGCCATTTGTCAGCTCGGTTAACCTCTCTATCGCTTGGCATCTGGCGGCAGCTTGGAATTTTCAGTGTATCGACTCGCTCTCCCGCTGTATTTCCTTGGCCGCATCGGGCTGTTGGTTGTTTTTCCGTTTTGCAGCCGAGGCCAACACCAGCAGCAGGATTTATTATGCGCGCGGGGAATTCGTCGAGTCCGCGGGGACGATTATCGCGTCGAGTGCCCACTTGATCATTCGCCCCCGCAACGCTTCGATGGGCGCGCGTGGTATTTGTGGGCAGTAGTCAACGTTGCTTGTTTTAACGCTCAGTTTATTGCGCCCGGGCTAAAAACAATGACGACATTCGTTAAAACTTATGTAATTCTCGGCGCCGAATGAAATGTTAGCGGATATATGCGTAATTTGGACGGAATGAAACATGACTTTGCTGGCTATGTACGTATGTAGGACGGAATAACGGTGAGGCGTTTTTCACGCGGCGAATACATTTTTCATCGCACGCTCGCGCGCCGTGAGAAAGGGACGCACACGCGCATAATATGCCCGATGAATCGGCCTTCTGGCGCAGATCGTAACGAGATAGTTCGGATATCGGGAGGGAGCGAGAATATATACGAGTACAAGCGCCGAAGTCGCGCCAAGTTTGCGCTTGAGCGTGTCCGAATGAAAAGTTTAACTTGGCGGAGGGAAGTTGGTTTTCCAAAAAGGAAAGCTCGCGCGGGAGCTGCACTGAATGGACGAGGGGGACTGCAAGCGCAACGCGTTCAATTAGCGTCGGCCAAACAATGGAGATGATCGCGGACGCGGAGGAAAGTCCAATCGGCAGATGAGCCAGATCGAGCGGCAGAGCGGATACAAAACTAAACAAGTCACTTTGCGAAGCAGAGAGCCCGTAAAGCCACTGCTGCGAACGAGGAAAAGCGTCGGGAGAAAAGTCGGCAGCGGAGAAATGGGAAGAGAGCCAATTGGTAGGAAAGAGGCGCCTCTGCGGAACGAGAAAAAGAAGGATGGTTAAGGACTTGTCTTTTTCTCTCCCTCTTTCTCGAGCTCCTCTCGGCGATAACCTCTCTCTCGCCAGCTCGCTAGTATATTTCATTCCATTCTTCGCCGAGGCAGCAGCCGATGCGAATCTCGTTTTTCCGAGTCCCAGAGCTTCGAGTCTGAAAATAAAGGAGGAAAAGGAACAAGACGGAGATGGATGTAGCGAGAGTGTAAAGGGGCGGAGGGGGAAGCTCCAGAAAATACGTAGACGCGTTGCGGACCGGAGAGAAATACAGGTGAATCTCGTTTGATCTTGCCTTTTCGCTCTCTCCCGAGAGGAGGAGATGGCTTTTCAAGAGTGTTTCCGCGCCAACGTTTCGCCTCTAATGTATCTTTCCAAGAAGCTCAGGTGTAATGGTTGCGTTGCATCGCTATTCATTTCCCTTTCTTTTTCGCTTGCTACACTTTCCAATCGGCCCCTCTTTCGATTACTCTCAATCAAGCGTTTGCCGCACTATCGTCTTACATTGACGACCAATCGTGAGATTCCTTTTTCAAGCAGTCGTATTTCATCGTTCGCCGTGTGCCTGCGAAGCTTGGTCGCGGCAAAGATTTAGCCGCAGATAAAGTTAAGTCCCCGGATATATAGTTGAATCAGGAGCGCCGATGGGATTGCAAAAAGAATCGATACCAAATAACGTTAGGGCCGCGAACGCGTCACTTTGCAGTTTGACTTACTTTCAAAAGCTCGTCAATCTCATCAAAAATTCAGTGGCGACGCTCGCCGTGGACTAGGTAATGATCAACAGAAGCTCTCGGAAAGCCACTAAAAATCTCTCGACTGCCATAACAACGTCGCGCTTATATCGAGAAAGCGCATAAAGATATCGCAAATGGTTATGAAAGGACGCTCTGAAATGGAAACACGAGGCGCACGCGAGAGGAAGAGATGGGGTATACAGCAAAGAAAAGAGCGAGTATATATATCCGCAGGCTGATGGCTGGCAGGATTTGCTATGCGACAAAGTTCGCTGGCAGAGTTCTCAGTCTCTCTCTCTCTCTCTCTCTCTCTCCCCCTTTTCTCCGTCTCGGCGGAATGCTGATTAGTCGGTACTTGTGCCGCCATAACACTATAACTTATCCGCTGCTGCTGCTACAACGAGAACGACGGCAAAGAGGAGAGTAGGAGAAGGAGAAGATTGCGAGAGCAGTAGTACGCTCAGTGCTGTGCTATCTGTCCTTATCAATTCCACTCGGCTCCCGGCGGGCTGAGGAAAGCTTAATAGGGAGGAAATTGAGTGCTCGAGGAGCAATATTGAAGGAGGGATTCGCCCGCTCGCGCTTTCGAATTCCCGAGACGTGCAGCGGTTCTCAGCTTTCTCTCGCTCTGCCTATATCGGAATTATTGACTTTGAGAGGCAGCGACGTGATTCGCCAATTGGCTCGTCGTCGTCGTCGTCGTCATCGTCATCGTCGTCGTCGTCGTCGTCGTCGTCGTCGACTCGAGGTGTCGATACGCGAGCCCTGCAGCAGATACAGAGCCGCACGTGTCTCGTCGTCTCTAGCCTTTGTCACGCGTAGCCCCCGGGCTTCCCCGAATATCAATCTTCGTCCAATTCTACCTGTGCGCTTATTGACAGTTGATCAATGGCCACTTACTCCAATGATGGCATTGAGCTCGGTCATGGTCACTTGTTTCGCCCTGTCGACCGCAGTGCCGACTTGCACCTGATGATCCGACGACAAGAACGGCAGGATTTGCGCAATTATGGCGTTCAACCTCTTCGATATTTCCGTCTGTAATGCACAAAAAATAAGTTAGGCTTTGCATTTACATTCACTGCTTTATTTATCGCTCGAAATTGTCTGAAAAAGCGCATCTCGCAGCAGGTCCGTACATTAAGCGCGGAAATGGAGTTCGATTGGGCCGGCAAAAAGCATCGAGCGCGCGTAGAAATACAAATAGTTTGCGATCGGCGAGTTTCCAATCAGTTTGAGTGAGAAAAAAACGCAGCACTTACTCGCTGCTCTGGAAATTGATTAGCCAACTTGTCGTCGTAAAACACTCGGCTGCCCTTCGGTAAGAAAGGAAAAAGTGCAATTAGCATATCAGCTGCGGCGAGAACGGCTCGTTGAGCAGCATAGGAAAACCAGTTTCGCGAAAGAGCAAAAAAGCAAAAAAGCAAACGTCTAATTCAGTTAAGCTTTCAGAATTAATCGGCGGCAAGGAGCTAACGTTCGATGTTAATCTATCTCCGCCTATTTATATGCCAACGGTTTAACGTCGCGTTTAGCACGAGGTGTAAATACGCGCGTTTCTTCGTAACTTCCTACATGCTGCCTTTCACTTCTGTGCTGTGTTAGTTCGCGGATTCAACAGGTTTTTTTGCCGCGCGCACGCCGCCAGTTTTCTTTTGCACTATACACGGCTCTCCTTTCATTTAGTAATTGACCACGCAGCCCGACAGCCTGATAATCAAACTGTTAACGCGGATCAATCTATTTCGGCGGCTTTCCGAACTCGCAAGCAATCCGTACTCCAGAGTGGAAGACCGAAATAAAAGGAGCGGAACGGTCGGCGGGAGGGGGGCAACGAAGGCAAATGAAGATTTAACGCATTGCCTAATCCAATCAGCACGAAAGATCGTGGCGTTCGTAAGCACCCGGGCGAGTCGATAAACGCCCACAAATCCCCGGCATGGAAATTCAATAGAGGAGAGCAGCGAAAAGAAATCGAGCATAAATTGCGATGGAAACTTTTCGGTGCGATCGTTACGAAAACTTGGCAATTGTACCCAGCGACGGCGTGGCAAATTCACAACTCATTTTCACGTGCGTTATAATTAGCGGCTTAATGACTCGCGCGCGCACGGGCGCTAGACTGCCTTAGGGGTAATTAAAACAACAACTCGTCGACGGCGACGACGAGCGGAGCTGTTCCTTCCGCTCTGCTTGCTCCACGCGAGGCTTTTAAGTACCGGTCGCAGCTACGACATCCCCTCGATTTCGTGCTCGTCGGCTTTGCTCTTCATCTTCCGTCCCTCTGCTCTGTTTCTTGCTCTTTCTCTTCTCGGCCACTTTTACCGCCACTTTTTACCCCTTCGTTTTTCATTGCACTTCGTTGTTGAGTTTAAGCCTTAACTATCGCACTCGCCGAGAGAAAACCATTTAGCACGCGATAAAAATGCACGCCTGCATCGTCAACGCGTCTCTTGGCCCGAAACAAAAAGAATTGATCTCGACGGGCGCATCGACTAAAAAACAAAGGAGGAGAAACCGCAAGCTTCCCCCTCGACTGTAGCGGCATTACAATTCAGCTAAAATCTCGATACTCGCTTCCGAGGCAATTTACCAAATGGAATGGAAAACTCGCGGACAGAGAGGCAACTCGCAGAAAAAAACGAGAAGAGAAAAGGGCCGATCGAAGGCCATATCTCAGTAGTCGTCTCGAGGCTCAGTGTATAGGTATATGCGCGTGCAAAGCGCTTTGTAGCCCGATGAGCGAACGCGCATAATTCTCCGATTTCTTTGACACCTTTGCAAGCAGGCAGATGCAGGAGGAGGGAAAGGCGGCGAGCAGTAAGGAAATCAATCTTAGACCAACTGCTGCCGGGGATTCCTGTACTAGCGAGAGCGCGAGTCGTTACTCAGCATCGAAGTTGAATAACCGCGCTGGACAAAGTTTTTCTTTTTCCTCTTCCGTAACCAAGTTGTCGTCGATTGTTTATGCAAACTCGCATCCATCGCCGAGGCACTCTGCAACTGCAACAGCAGCAGCAGCAGCAGCAGCAGCAAGGACAAAAAGAGAAGCCGTGGTTATACACAGGTCGAGCATTACCTAGCACATGCACGCCGACGCACGTGTGCGCGCACGCCAAGCCTTTTGGCCTCGCATCCTCTTCGGAAGCCAGAGTGCCTTCTCGTGCTGCTGGCTGGAAGCGTACGGTTACAGCAGACAAGAAAGCGCGTTCGATACTCCGCGCGAGTATGTCGGCGGGCGGGGAGAGAGAGAGAGAGAGAGAGAGAGAGAGAGAGAGAGAAAAGGAAGAGGAAATGAAAATCGACGACGAAAAAAGAACGAGCCAAATGCAAAGCACTTCAGCCTCGATAAAAATTCTTGCGCGCGAGCTTGTACGTGCGCTGAATGCGAGCTTCCGCCCACCTTCCCTCCCCGGCCCAACCCCCTCTCACTTTTTTTCCGATAATCCGATACACCGAGAGATTTTTCAAACGACGACGCGGCGCCGCCGCCTTTCTCCTTTTCGTTTTTGCTCACCGCGGCGTTAATTAACGCTTTCAACATTTTCGACGGGTCATTTTTTCTTCTTCCGGCACCGCCAGATGTCGCCCGCTTCCACTTTACCACGACGGCGTTCCAGGGACATTCGCGTGGCAATTGCACTGTTAATCGGCCAGCTCGAACGAGAAGCCCACCGAAAGCCAATTTCTCGTTTCGCGCTATCACCTCGGACGCAGAGCGCGCGAGTGCGCGTTCCTTTGCTCTGTTCCCTAACGAGGGAGTCTGCCGCGTCAGCGCGTCCAGTGCATCGGCAAAGCGAACATCTGATGCTTATAACCTGCACGAGCAGGACGTACGTCTACTCGACGCAAAGCTGCTTTCAGCGGGGAAGGCGTGTACGCCATTGTCCGATGGCACGACCATTATTTCTAATCGCGTTTGCTAGATATTTGCCGGTCGGTTTCGCGCTGGACGCTTTTTCATACGTGGATTTCTTTTTCAAATTTTCATTGGGAAGGAGGAAGACAACCGACATCAACTCGTATGCCGTAAGTAGATTACAAAGTCCAGCGGGCTGAGCAACAAACAGGTTCATTGGGTGTGCCGTTGCAAATTAATTTATTATTTTCCAAGTATCGCTTTTATGTTTTTTCAAGGAGTTTTCCGATTTTTCAGATATTTTTCGATCGTGGTACAAATAGATCGAGATATCCCCAGTTCTCCCGAGCTTATTTAAATCTTTAATATAACTACGTATCTAGTGTATTTCAAGCTCGTTCCAAGTCATCTATTGCAAACTCAACGCAGTTAAAATAATACACTCGTCGAAAACGAAAATCAAAGAGTAAAGCCAGTAGCACGTACACACACACATTCTCGTAGAAAATCCGTTGAGCACGGTCCTTTAAGTAGCGGTTAGGCAGTTAACCGTTCGCGCGCGCGAGAGAGAGAGAGAGAGAGAGAGAGAGAGAGCCTCAGCGGAGGGCTTAATCCGAATCCCTAATTAGCTCGGGAAGGCGAGTCAGCCGGCAATTTCCTCTCTCTCCCTCTCCAAGTGTAACTTTCTCGCGGAGAGCAGTTAGGCTAGTGATGATCGATTAGCGGCCACTTGGTTCCGCGCCCGCAGGATATTTACACTACGGCTCTCGCGGTCGAGTGGATTTTTCGATTGAAGCTAAACAACGCGAACCGGAGAGTTGGCGCGAACGCCAACGTGCCAACGTACGCGCTGCGACATCCATGCAGTGGGGACTGTCTTTGTGCTACGAGGCTGACCACAGCAGCGCTCGCAGTTTGCTAGAGAGAGCGTGAGGGGGGGGGGGGGCAGCGGACGAAGAACGCCTTGAAGGCGTCTCTCTGTCGCTGTTTATTAGGCCTTGCTGCGAGCCAGCGTCGCTTCTATGCAAATCCCTTGGGCAGAGAGCACAATGGTCCCCGGGCTGTCGCGCGATGTATGCCTACGGACACCTGACGCTGCCGCTGCCAAACACCATATTTACGTGGAGCAGTGCGTCTCGCGTGTGCGTCTCGCAGTTGCTTGCAAACCCTCGAGCTCGATCGTCGGTCCCGAATGAAAAGTATCGCACCGACCGGCAAATTGAATTTGATAGGGCCTTCGGAAGTCGTCGGCCGCAACGCTTACGTATTCGCGTGCTTGGGGTTTATACGTACGCCGGCTGCAAAGTGCAGCGAGCGCGGAGAGAGCCATATATACAACTGGCGCGAGAGCAAACACAGTGTCGAGCGTGCGGTCAGGTGTTGTTCGGGCGAGTGGCCACTCTCTGGTCGAGGCGTTGCCTAACCGCTAAGCTCGCCCGATATATGACCCGCATGGCCATAAAGCCTCTGCTCTCCCCCTCCCGCGCGCCCCCTGCCCCCTCTCGCCGTTCCTTTGGCTGCCACAAGCCGCAACGGGCTACTGCCTTGATTAAACGCGCCACAGCCGACCGCCATTATCGCTGATTGCGCTAAACATTAACGGACTGCGCAAAGATTACCCAACCTGTCTACCTCTCTCTCTCTCTCTCTCCCTCCATGCAATCTATGATTTCGCGTTTGATTAGCCTCACTCCACGATATGCTAATTGGCTAGCGCTGCTGCTACTGCATAGCGCTCTACGTGTGCGCGCGCGGAATGAGAGATAGCGATGCTCGCTGCGGTCGAGCGCGCGATACGGCGCGACGACGATGCCATCATCAACATCATGCACGATGATTATTTGCTATGACGCTGCCGCGTCTGTCTTTTGCGCGACTGCGGTTTTCATTAATACATGTTCGTTCGACGACCTCGATATTCCGAGCGAATTGTGCCTCTCGACGGCGAACCGATCGACTCTGTCCGTTCACATGGTAATTATATTTTTTCATATATTTTTCATGTGCCACGAGCAGACAAGTGCTAAGCGCCTCGGTCAGTCATCTCGGGGATTATTAGAGTATGGGTGTACGACGCAAAATGCCTTCGCCAACCGTACCTTGACGGTGCCAAACGTTGCGGCGATTCGAGTCAAGAACCGCGAGGTTGAGAAAGAGAGGAATGGACATCGAGAAAAGA